CCAAGGTACGGATAAATCGATCCTGGGCTTGAGTTGTCGCCCTTGGTCGACCTGAGCGTGGTCTGTCCTGTACAGATTGTGTATCACGGTATCTGAACCATAGCCTGCTTATGACAGACTGAGAAACATTCATCGTCCGCGCCACAACCGCCTGTGTTGTGCCGATCTGTAGCATGCCAAGGGCACGTAACCTTTCAATTTGGGTAAGCCGACGCATATCAAAATTTGTTTTCTGGTCACTAAAACAATTAAACTGATGTTTCCACCCTGGAATTCAATGCCACAATGACTGTAACATTCAAAGTCAGAGTCGTGCAAATCTTGGGTTGGACCCCCATGATGATCCCAAGCATCACCTGCATTCCATGCGGTAGCTATTGGTGCGTTTGGGCGTCACATGTAACTGGAAATGTTTCTTCTGTTAGGTTCTACAGTGACTTTTTTCGTAGTCATTTGCATATTTTAGTATTATGCCCCCAAAATCAAATATCCCCTACTTTTTTTGAATAGTATATATTGTAAGGAGCCACGACCATATTCAGGTACAGTCGTCTTATCTGTAACGTTTGGTGGACTAACATCTCCAAACAAACATAACAAATCAGAAACAGCATAAAACCACTGATCGTTGTTTGCATTCTTTTGACAATGTCTAATTTTTCACAGCTTAATCCTTGCTAAATTGTTCTCAGATTATTTTACATTTAATTAAGAAAATAATCAAAGCTAGCTTATTCTCCCATCCTGGGTATTCGCAGTGGTATCATTCTTTCTACTGGGCCAAGGGAAGTAACTAGCATTTTGTTGAAACTAAGATTGCTAAATCATTGTTATAAACTTTAGGACATCTTTATGTGTGCATGTCAGTCCCAAAATTACCCCCCCCCCCTCTCTCTCTCAATTGTAGCTGATAATAGTAAAAATAAAAATGAATATATGGATAAAAATGGATATATGGATTATAATCTCTAGTCAAAGTACTCAAGTTATCAAATGTTTATGACTGTGGTAGTCCCCTGAGTAAAATGACCCAGTTTTAATTCGAGAACCTTAATGATTTCTGAAAGCCGACCTGCACTTATCACGGGTGGTGCCTGCAAGAGACTGACCAGGAAAGTTTTCTTTCAGTTCAATAATTGTTCAATATTATTCAGTATTTACAGAGATATGTCTAATTAAATTCATGAATTTAAACATACATGTATATTATGCAAGAGCTAAATCTGCCTATTGCAGGTCTTTCTTTAGACCTGAAATGTTTTCTAAATTATTAATTAGACATTAATAAACTTCTCCAGGCCATAATCAACTCTCGATGGCATCAGATTTCTCCGATATTAAATAGATTAGAACAGTTCAGCCATATTTTGATTTAAGCTTAAAATGGAGGAGCGAGACTTAGCTTCGAACAACCAGTACGGTGGTTGAAATTATTGCACACGTCTTGTCAAACCTTCAAAGGCTAATATCTTGTCTTGAAACAGAGTAATTGGAATTGAATTTTCAAACTATTCATTTTAAATTATCCATTTTCGAACTATTATAGCATAAATCTTACATAATGTATCTTTAATGATGGGCCTGTTTTAAAGCCGATTGAGTCGAAGCAGGGATGTTCTCTAGCATTGGTGTTTTGATTTTGTTTTCTTAATTGAATGTTAAATAATCAATCTGAGTACATATTATTAGCGTGGATTTAAGATATTTTAGTGATATACCCAGGGCACATTGTCAACTTAAAGAATGTAATCTCATATATACAGTTTGTAAATTTGAGTGATTAGAGTGCAACATGTTGCATGTATCTATATTCATGAGGGGGAGCCACAGTGGATTAGTGGGTAGGCTGTTGGCCTGCTTGTCAGTGGTGTAGGTTGAGGAGCATCTGGCAAGGGACAGCATATAGTTGTTTGGATGGGATGAAAAACCTGGTCCCGTGTGCATGTAAAAGAACCTTTGGCTGTGAATTCGAAATAAAAGTAGGCTGTAGCGTGGCTCTACTGGCACAATTTCCCTCATAGCGCACTGCATGATGTATGCTTGTCTTCATTAGCCTAGTCGGAGCAGAACAGTATGACGTTGAATCCCATTTCATTTCATTTGATTTCTATATGTGGGCCTTGACAGCTTTCCAGTTATTAAACTTTATTTTAAAATGAAAACATAATTTTCCAAATAATGAAATTTTATTTTGTGTTTTTCAGATCTCATGTTTTGCAGAAAGTTTGCATGTATTTCACATACAAGGTTCGATACACAAATAGCTCTACGGAAATACCAGAATTCCCTATTGCACCAGAAATTGCTCTGGAATTACTGATGGCGGCGAATTTCCTTGACTGTTAAAAAGTACAATTATATAATTTGTTATTACTTATATCCCGTTTTAAAAAAAAAAACTTTTTAGTGAATGTGTTGTCCTACTGATTTATTTTGTCAATTATTTCAGATTTATTATTTGTGAGACATCATGCTATGGTCCCTGAGATATATGCAAGTTAGAAATATCTTGGGGGATTAAGCTTTATAAAGGGCCATGTTAAATGCCATTAGGAAGTTTACTTATTAATATTTATTATTATTATTATATTAACACATGGATAGTTTCAAGTTTGTAGTAGGAATTCATTGAGAATTACTTGATTTATTTACACCCAGGTGGAAATTCATTGAGAATTACTTCATTTATTTACAATTGAGTGGAAATTCATTCATTGAGAATTACTTCATTTATTTACAATTGAGTGGAAATTCACTGTGAGTTGCTTGAAAATTTTACAACCAAATGGAAAATTTTAGATTTATTACACACAATTTTGAATTCATTGAGAAGTACTCGATTGATATACCCACAATTGAGAATTCATTGAGAAGTACTCGATTGATATACCCACAATTGAGAATTTATTGAGAAGTACTTGATAATTTATGCACAAAGGGGGAATTCATTGAGAATTACTTGATATTTTTTTACACGCAAATGGAAATTCATTGAGAATTACTTGATAGATATTTACACTCAAGTGGTAATTGATGTATAAATTAAGCAAAAGATTTTTATTTTTTAAAAAGAATATCAGTTAAAATGTTATATGGTTCATTCAAGCATAAACAACAGATGTGTAGTATGTGAAGTAGATATACCGGTTATAAATTATACTGGGAAACCCCCATATCATTAAACACCTATTATTAACTGATAGATAAATCATTATTTAATATTCATTATCAAAACATAGTATTTTTTTTTAAATTCTTCCCCATCATATTTTGAAAAGAAAGTTCAAAGGAATTTAGTAATGTGATACACTATTATTATGTTTTTCTTTTGTGTCTGTTTGTAAAAGTGTTTTATAAATAGTGGATAATTGTTTTATTTATTGTCTTATGACTTACTTTATGAGCTTATTTCGTAGCACATAAACCTGTCTGACAAGTTTGAGCAATATATCTTGCTAATTATTATCTTTTTGGGGGTGTTCTTCAAAGGAGCATTCCAACAGCTGTATCATAGATATTCCTGGCTAAATAAATTTTCTAATGTGTATTGATTTTATTATTTGCTTTATGTTTGTTTTCTCTCTAAACAAGGAAGATTCTGAAATTTGTGCCACTGGTGTTCCTGGAGTAATGTTGACCTTTTCAAATAGTAACAACATTGTAGGGCGGACATGGTACGTGGCCGACTTACATAAAAATTAAAAAAAGAAATTTAAAAACCTGCAAAAAGAATTCTGAAACACTTCTGTCCTGGAGAATCTCTTCTCTTGGTTTGCTCATATAACCAGTAGACTTGAGGAGTGAGGACTGACATGGGACCTGTGATCAGTTATTCAAATATCATGAAAAAACTTGATTTGAATTGGCGAATTTGTAAAAGAAACTGAAAAATCTGTAAAAGAGAATTCTGAAACACTGCTGTCATAGATAACTTTCCCCTACAAAATAAAAAGTAACTGGCTTCATCTCAAAATGACAGTAGAAAAAACCTAGATGTAAATTGGTGTATACAGAAATAAGAAACTTAAAACTCTGTTAAAGAGAATCTGAAACGTGTTTTATCAAACGTGTAAATTTAAGCCTTTTGTTGGTTGTGATGTAGCTGATGAAATTGATTGTTATTCAGGTCCAGATATGCACCATACACCACCAATGACACCTGGATTATTCAGTTTTCTTAGCTGACACCCCCCCTCTTGCTTTCACGAAATATTCTGCATCTGCCACTGAATGGTTATCTGCACAATTACACCTTGAACTTCCCAAAGGCCACTGATGACAAAACTAATTTCTCCCAACGTTGGTCCATTTGTTACACATCATCTGATAATCCAGTCATTATCTCTTTGCAGCCTTTTTTGCTGCAAATGAGCAGGTAAATCTCAATATATAAAGATATCTTGTCCATCACTGAACTAAATGTAATCTGTTGATTTTACAGATAACAAATGATCAAATAGAATGAGAAATGTCATGGAATTATTGTGCATTGGCATAAGTTACCTGAATCCAGAGATGGGTCACCTGTCATGCAGTTAAGTTACATTACATAGGCTCCACTGCGTTAAGAACCCGATATTACTTTTCTTTTTTTTACAAGTACCAGTAGGTGGTCTAGAAATAGTAAGCATACCCTGTCTCATGCAAGACATCCATCACTATAAACGGCCAAAGTGACCATCACTTAACCAACCATAGAGACTTCTGTGTTAAAATTTGCAAAGATGGATTGTTAATGTTATGTGCTCATTCATTAACAATGGAAGTTCAAACTTTCAGTATAGTAATAGGAGTGACATTTTTTCTCCCAGCTTCAGGCAATTACATTTCTGAATCAAACTATTTATGTAATATAAAATAAAACTCACCTTGAAAAAGTATATGATTGGGAAAACAAAAGCTTACAAATTACCATGGGTTACTGAAATAGTTTACCTAAGGAAGACTAAGATTAAGAAAGTGTGGTGTGGTTCAGTTAAAAGTCGATCCAAAATTTGGACGAAACATAGAAGATGGCGGCCTACGTAAAAAGTAAGATAAATTTTATTTCTTTAGCCGAATTTCAATATCTGCAAAATAAATTGATTTACATTGATAGGTAAGTAACATTAGTACCCAGCCAATTTTAAGAATATAAGCAGTCCATTTTATTGAAATATTTGTCAGTAGACCACGAAAAAGTTTATCTTTTATTTATATATGTATTTGTATAATGGGAGGTAACTCTGACACTACTGCGCAACAAAGAATTCATCCGGGAACTGAAGAAACGACACGCAATAAAAAGTTGGCAATCTGTTTAATTTAGTGGATTATCATTAAATTTTGCCCGACCATAAGATATGATATGAAGTGAGGAGAGAGATGATTTTAAATTTCGAGACTAAAATATTTCATTTTATTTTATCAATTCGCTTGCGCGGATATAAGTTACAAGGATTAGCATTAGAAGGAGAGCGAATGGCCCGCAGAAAGCCGACGAGATTTGTGATCGAAACCACACGTTAGACCATACCCATGATATAAATGTTATCTGATCTTAAACATAATAGCTTAATCAGAAGCTGGGCATTCCGCATCCAACCCTTGGATATTACAATTTATTCCGGGATTTGTTTGGTCTTTGGCATAACGTTTTAATTATTTTTAAAATTTTGATACAAAAGACCACATGAATTATTTGTGATCTATAATATATAAGATATCAAATAAGTTAAAAGATAAGATATTTATTACATAAAACACTCTTTTCGGGCAGCATGTAAATTATACATTATGGATGAAAAATACATAAAAAGTGGATGAAATGTACATGTATTAAGAGTGCATGTACAAAATATAAACCAAAGTTTTGAATATGTCATAGTCGCTTGAAATGAAATGAAATAGGGTTTAACGTCCTACTGTTCTGGTCCTACTGGGATAATGAGGACGGGCATACAGTGTGCTATGAGGGAAATTTTGTCCGGGCAGCGGCATCGTGGCCTACTCTTATATCGAATTCCAACTGCCAAGTGATCTTTTACGGGCATTTCAAAGTACACTGGGGTCCTCGATTTTTCGTACCATCCGAAGCCCCTTATCGGGTCCTTCGTTCTGCCCCACTGGTAAGGGGAAACCACGCCGGAAAATCCCGATGAACTTTCTAGGTCAATGCAGGGAACGAACACGCAACCTCGTAGGCTAGCGAGCCAGCGTCGTACCCATTAGCCACTGTGGCCCCACCCTAGTCGCTTGAACTAAAGCTGAAAAAGAGATCTTTGAATGATTATTTTTTTTACATAATTTTTCAATAGTCCCAAGAAAATTTGTTAAATACTATTCTAATACAAAAACCATTGATGTAATTATTTACAGCTAGCTGTTCATGGGTTCCACGTTTTATATCATACCGTGGATTATCATCTTTAAATTCAAACCTGAGAGATGCAAGAGATTTGTTAATAAAGTATAATGGCGGTACCGTAGATTTGGTTAAAGACACCACGACTGGTATAGCTACAATATCACTCAATAATACAGGAAAAAAGAATGCACTTACCGGTAAGTTTTTCCATAAAGTGAAGCAGTATGATAAATAAATTCTTGACTGTTATAAAATGGGTTCTTTATGAAAATAGATACGTAAATGCGGGCTATTTCACTGAGTCTAACCGAGTACCGAATCAAACCGGGATACCGCTATGAAAAGTAGACTACCTTGCACATCAATCTGATTAAAACACAGATCCTATTTCGTTTCGTTTTTTATAGTTCAAAATTTCGTTTTACTTGTCTTTACTACACTAGGATCTGGAAGAGTTGTTATATTACCGGCGTTTTGGTTGAAGTAAGGGATAAGCCAATGAAACAGTCTGTTACGGCGACTTCTTGGCGTACCATGCACGGAACTGTGGGTAAACCACTAGAAACGCCAACGCTGATTGATTAATCAATGTCTGACATCATAGGGTCCAAAGCCGCTCGTACGACCCCTGACACGACCTTCGCATACAACTTGTCAGATCTTCATGTAGTGTAGGCCATCGAAAGTATAAAAAAACGAAACGAAATATAGATCTGTATTTTGGTCAGATTGCTTTCACATGGTAGTATATTAATCACAAATTCTTTAATTACACTAAATTTTTTTACCTTTTTTTCTCATAACAATTACCAAGAAGCTAAAATACATGAGAAAAAGGGGTATATCATTTTGCGAGGGTGAATTATGCCTCAAATATAAAATCCGATAGACCACCCTATTTTCAGCAAATTGTGGTTTATATCTTTAAAATTCCGTTCACTGGATTGTCATTATATATTTAATATAGGCGTTATATATATGCAGTCATATGAACCGCTCCTGGTGTGGGCTAAAGCAATATCTCATAAATATACATTAGTTAGATATATACGGCCGATTGGTAGTTATTGTTCGTCGACGGATTGATTATATGACCACATGGTCTCTAAACCCGCGTGTATTGTAAATGCGAAATAAAGTAAATCGAATCATTTGATATTATTCTGAAATCTAGAACATTATAATCTTAAAAATAGATCTTTCATATACCATATTTTCTTGACACGAATTTAATAATGGGAACCATTTGTTGATATTGTAAATTTTAAAAATACCTTTGTTCTCCTGTGGCTTTTTATCGCGACCATAAAGCATATGTGACATGGGAAAAATAAATATATATCTGGAGGTTGTGATATCATAGGGCACCATATTTTGACATCACATTCTATAAACAGATGAGACACTACTAATACTCACGTTTTGTAATAAGATACTGTATTGCAATTTTACTTACTTTCATATGTAGTTCGTTGTAAAAACTATAATGTTCAACGTAGAAGAAACACGTCGACCGTTATGAAATAAATAGACTTTTTAACGCAACCGTTGCGACAAATGGTTTGATATGTGCAAATCATATATGAAAATGTAAAAAATAAAAAAAAATAAATGAGGTTTAACGTCCTACTTTGTCTGCACCGCCTGGGCTAATGAATACGGGCATACGCCATGCAATGTGAGGGGGGTGGATGGCCGAATGGTTAGCACGTGCGTGCTGTATCATAAGGCCTGTCATTGAGTCAACTGGCGTGGTTTCGAATCCCCGGTTGTACGTGACAAGTAGTAGGGTCGCCTGTCCAGCCTCTCCGGGTCCTCCGGTTTCCTCCCACTGCTAAAGACACCTACGCGCAAGCGAATTATTGAAATAAAATTAAACCATATGTTAGTCCCGAAATGACCTAGTTTGTGTCGAGTGGACGTTAAACCCCATTACTCTCTCTCTCTCTCTCCATGCAATGTGCTATGGGGGAAATTTTGCCCAACTCTCAAGGTTGTTTTACGTGCACATCAATGTGTACACGGGACCTCGGATTTTCGTCCCAAACGAAAGACTATACGTTGTCCTTTGCCAGGCCATCCATTCTGCACCATTTACAATAGGGAACCACGCCGGAAAATCTAGATGAACTTTCTCTGCTAACGCAGGGATCGAACACGGGGCCTCCAGGTTAGCGAACCAGCATCTTGCTCACCGAGGGATTGTTCATTTTAGGTTCATGCAAGAATCCCTAAGATGTATATCTCAGAGATATCACCTCGTTTACTTTTACCCTTTAACGCCCATGTCTTTTGTTTGGGTGTTCAAATTTTGATACCGAATTGTATATCAAATCGCGGAGTTACCTCCCATTAAAGCTTGTGAACACAATTCTAACTGGATTTAAAGAAAAATGGGAGATTATTTAATATTTAACATATTGGAATGCCTTTGATAGCTAGATGCTGGGTGCATAAAGCTAGGGAAGGGAAGCTGGCAAGCCCCGGTCTGTGTGTAATAAATATTAAAATTTCCATTTCAATTTCTGGTGGAGAGTGAATGTTATAAGGCGTGTGTGTGTATGGATGAAAAAATACACAGGAAACTACCTATATGTAAATAAAATTCCCTTGCCACCACCGTCAGTTGCTAACTGTACAGTGGAAAATTTTCAAACCCGTTATATTCCATCTGCATACTCTAAGTTGTATTCATCTGCAGTCAAAAAAAGGTATGCCTTAGCAAAAGAAATCTTTATAGTTAATATTGAAGCCGTATATAGATACAGGGCTTTGGTTAATATTATAGCCTGACGTTGGAATCATCTTTTGTCAGTGTGCGTAGTTGTAGTTAAATGTTCAGTTTACGCGGTTACTAACATAATTATTTCTTAACCTCAGAATGAAATTTAGGTCCATCATCTACCCCAAATGGTCCCTGGACCGAACCTTAATTTCTCCAAGTAAAAGTTTCACCAATACCCAATTAACTAGAAATCAGTTTATCTGGAAAAACACCAGAGACCCGGTATGTTGTGACGTTAGGATTTCAATTCAGTCGTATTATCTTATGCAGGTAATATCTGAAGCAGCATACTTCAGCTTTAGAAAATGTTTAATAGCATAACATTAGGAGCACCCCTCCCCTTTTTTGGAGGGTTGGGTGGCCGAATGCTCATGTCTGTCAGTGAGTTATGTTGCTTGGATTCAGTTCCTCGCTTGTACGTGATAAGTTGTATGGTTGCTTGTGGGTTTTCTCCGGGTCCTCCCGCTGCCAAACACCCCTCCCCAACTCTCTCTCGCTCTCTCTCTCTCTCTCTCTCTCTCTCTCGGAATGAACTTTTGAGATAAATCCTTAGTATTTATTACACAGGGGTGTGGTGTGTTCACCAACACTCCGTCCGAGATATTGAGAAAGTAAAATGTATTATTTTTAGGTGGAAAGGAAACGCATTTACAACCATTTCTTACTCAAATCCATTTTGACAGGATACATTTAATACAAAACATACATCTGCCATTACGTAACCTTTTATTTAAACACAAACAGTGAACTGATCATCTGTAATTTAAACAATTTAATAAAATATATCTATAACATGTTCTCCCCTTGTAAATGTCAGGGGGTTCTAATGTCTTAAATATGATCGCCCTGTTTTATTTAAAATATACATGATGTTTTTTCCACGTGGAATTTTCAATTGTAGATTGTAAACAAGACATGCTAGGTCTAATAATGTTATATCAACAGTTTTTCAATGAAATATGTGAACCATATACCCCAGATGATGCCCTGTTATTTACCATTCAACATATGAAATATATAAGTATAATTTGACCGATATTGGTTTAATCTATATACATAAAACCTTTGTCCTCAAGTATGTGTGTGGCAGAAGATACCCAGGGGCAAAATATTTCAAAGACTTTATTGATATAAGCTGAGTTAAATGTTTCATGAAACAAAATGGCGAGTTTCTCACAAACTTCAGAGAAGGGCAGAGAGCAAATCTTCTTTGTTCTCACGTTGTCAAATGTATTGGGAACCAGTTGAAACTACTGATCGTCATTTGCATTTTTCGGACAAATGCTAATTTATCACGGCTGAATCAGAGCTAAAATAAATTCAAATTGATTAAAGTCTAAGTGCGTCATTTGCTTTTTTCGGAAAATATCCAGTTTTTAATCCACGCTAAAATACATGTATACCCAAAGTTCTTTAACATTTAATTAAACATACACTATGCAAGAGCTAAATCTGCCTATTGTAGTTCTTTCTTTAGGCCTAAAATGTTATCTAAATTATTAATTAGACATTAATTAACTTTTCCAGGCCATAATCAACTCTCGATGGCATCGGATTTCTCCGATATTAAACAGTTTAGCCATATTTTGATTTAAGCTAAAAATGGAGAAGCGAGACTTAGCTTCGAACAACCAGTACGGTGGTTGAAATTATTGCACAAGTCTTGTCAAACCTTCAAAGGCTAATATCTTCCCTCGCAATAGAGTAATTAGGATGAAATTTTCAATATTTTCATTTTACATTATCTTACAGAATGTATCTTTAAGAAAACAAAATCAAAATGTCAACTGTGGATAATCTTGGATTCTATCGAATTAGCCAATCTAATTAAAATATAGATCTATATTTCGTTTCGTTTTTTATATTTTCGGTGGCCTACACTACATGTAGTTGCAAAGACAAGTAAAATCGAAATTTTGAAGTATAAAAACGAAACGAAATTGGATCCGTGTTTTAATCAGATTGTCGAATTAGCGTAACTTTGTTAAATACTGAACGGAATCGAACCATTTTTGGATAGATATGCCCTATAGAGATTCAACTTTCACAATATTGTAGTTTGCGAGAGATTCCCCAATCCCCCAGAGACTTTAACAATAACAGTGGCTCGAATTCAATACGCCTGTCGCTGAGTCTGCTTTTTTTTTTTATCTATGTGAAGAAGTTGCGTATCTAATGTTAAAATAATATTGATGAATTTATTTGTGGAGCAGCTACGTGTAAAAACTTTCAAATCTGGGTACAAGCACTGCAATTGGGTGTCCATATCGGGTCATTTATAAGCCACTTGAATTTTTGAAATAGTCGTCATTTTCCAAAATGGCTGCAATTTTCCGGCTTCGTTTCCCCTTGTTAGTTATACAGGACGTGCACGTAAAAGAACCCTTGACAGTTGGAATTCGATATAAAAGTAGGCCGTAGCGACGCTGTCCGGGCAAAATGGCGCTCATAACACATTGCATGACGTATGCCCGTCTTCATTAGTCCAATCGGTGCAGAAAAGTAGGGCGCTAAAACCTATTTCAATTCAGATCGAAAGGACTTTTATAAGCCCACATTTTCTCCTGGACGTATTATGTTCTTGCCCGTCCATGTTGGTTTTTTTATGTTATGAAGTTATGCACTAATGGTCTTTTTTCAATATATAAGTCAGCTGCATTGTTGACAACCTTTCATGTAAATTATTTTAGTTATCAGTCAACAGAAACATGTGTTTTCTCTTTAGGAAGGAATGGAGTAAGGGTAAACCTCCCTTAACACCGTCCATACACTTCAACATGAAATAAAACTAGCTTGATTTCACACATTTCCAATCCCCACACGAGCTGTGGTATGAATGGTAGTTATGTTGTTTTAAGGATGGACGCATGTGCTGAAGAAAAACAGTAAGTGGTCACACCTCGAATACCGGGGGTAAGAATATCTCTGTGATTGCTATTACGAGCGAGGTGTGGGCAAGATTACACAAATTACCCGAAATTTGGGAATTGTCAATGACGAAACGAACGATTATTAATATCACACGTGTTACAAAGTGCCCTGCTGTGTCGGTGTCTGATTTCCGGCGGTCAGCGGTAAATTGGACCCAAGTTGAGTCCAACAGACTCGCCGCATATTAAAGAGTCTACTTGCGGAATACCAACCCAAATTCTAAAACCTAACCCATTTTAGAATACTCGTCTAGGGTCCAATTTACCTTTTACCCTTTTAAAATTAGTTAGGGTTGGTATTCCTCAAGTAGACTTATTAATATGCGGCGGCCATGATTGCCATATCTTTAAACACCTGGGACCTGTTTCACGAAATTTCAACTTCGATAAAATTCAAATTTTAGTTATTTGTTTGGATAATATTAGATTGATTTTAGTGCTTAGCCAATCAATATTGAAGTTTCTATTAAAATTTGGATTTTATCTTTAGTTAAGATTTCGAGAAACAGGGCCCAGCCCTATTGAAATCCAGTTTGTTTATATATAAAAACAGCAGGTTTAAGGGTTTACTAATATACGCCCGCGGACAGTGTCTTTATAAGGTTGGAATCCCGATATGGGATCTAGTCTATAGAACGAACACATAAGGAAAAGGGCAACAACACAGTGTCCTGTCGTTTTGTAATAGCGATTTTGTAGACATCCCAAACTAACCCCCAATTCGGTAAAAATAGCTTTTTCTTTGTCTGGGCCGGCGCCCCCTCGAAATCTTAAAGATACATTATGGGAGATTGGATAAAGAGCTGGAAGTTCTCACAATAAACTAGATAATGTAAAGGGAGTTTTTTGAAAATTTCAGTCAAATTAATCCACTCTGAATCGAGATTTTAGCGATTGAATTTTCGGCCTAGCCTCGATCATCATTACTAAAGTCGGTACTATAAAAAACATAGTCTCGATTATCTATTTCATTATTAAATTAAGAATGAAAGTGGAGCAGCAAATGGAATCCTAATCCAGTAAACACTGCGGGCTAGCGTTGACATCGAGAGTTGATTACGGTCTGGATACGTTAATTAATGTCTAATTAATAATTTAGATAACATTTCAGGCCTAAAGAAAGACCTGCAATAGGCAGATTTAGGCATAATGTATGTTTAACTAAAAATAAAATCCATATTTTAGTAGATACTTCAATCTTGATTGGCTAAGCACTTAAATCAATCTAATATTATCCAATCAAATTACTAAAATTTGGATTTTATCTTAGTTGTAACTTCGTGTTGAACTCATTCAAGAAGCGGCGAAGCTTGGTTTTGATGTATAGTCTACAATGCCCACCAGGAATACATGTCAAGGCGAAATTTTAAACAAAAACCAGGAACGAAACATCAGCTGGACATCAGGTGTTTGGTCAAGAAATATAAAATATGATACTTGATCTGGCCTTGATGTATTTTTGATATACTACACACATTTCCTCATATTGTTTTCATTAGATGGTGGATATAACTTATCTTTAAGGTGCAAAAGAATATCTTATTTCTCACCTTATACTTTTTGAGTACAGAAATGAAAAGAACTTTGGCTTAACGTCCTACTTTTCTGCACCAATCGAAATAATGAAGACGGCACTACTCCATGCAACGGCGCCATGGCTTACGCTTATTTCGAATTCCAACTGTCAATGGTTATTTTATGTTCATGCCAACGTGTACACGGGACCTCGAGTTTCCGTCCCATCCGAACGACTAGACGTTGTTCCTTGCCAGGCCGCCCGCCCTGCATCACTTTCAAGGAGCAACCACGCCGGAAAATTCCGAGGAACTTTCTCGGCCACCATTAACTTTTGATGTCAAACCTACTTGATTTAAAGGGGCATTATGTAAGATTAGATAAAGAGCTGGCTATAATAGTTAAAAGATAGATAATGAAAAGGGAATATGTTAAAAATTTCAGCCAAATTACTTCATTCGATTGAGCCGAGTTATCGTCGTTAGAAGAACAATGTAGCCTCGATTGTCATTGCTACCGTTGTTAAGATAATAAACAAAGCCTCGATTATCCGCACGAAATGAGGAATTTTAAATGTCGGACTTTCATATTACCAATACTATAATATTTTATCTTTTTTTTTCAAATTCAGGTAAGATGATGGTGGAACTAGCCGACAACATTACTGAATTAGAAACATGGAGTGATGGAAAGGGTTTAATACTTACCGGCGCAGAGGGAAGTTTTTGCTCCGGGGGAGATTTGGATTTCGTCAAGAAAGTATTGACTCCGGAACTTGGATTCCAAATGTCTTGTTTTATGCACGATACCTTGTCTCGACTGCATCAACTACCGTTGATTAGTGTAGCATTGGTTCAAGGCGGGGCTTTTGGAGGGGGTGCAGAGCTGACCACCGCGTGTGATTTTCGTACCATGACCGAATCCGCCCGAATTGGTTTCGTAAACATCAAAATGGGTGTTATAACGGGTTTCAGTGGTGGAACCCGACTTACTAGAATTCTTGGACAACGTAAAGCTTTAGATATATTGTGTTCAGGTAGAAGTCTTGATTGTAATGATGCCAAAACAATCGGATTAGCAGATTTGGTAATTCCAAATACGGATTCTCTAGACAATACAAAGTCGTGGTTGATCAAAAACTATTGTTCTTGGGACACCGAAATGATTCGCCGTGTTAAACAGGTTACCCTAGCCGCTGCTGAAATGGACATCGAGGCTTCTTTAGCTCAAGAAAGAATTTTATTTTCAGAGCTTTGGGGTGGACCAGCCCAGAAAGCTGCCGTCAGTAAAAACTTAAAACATAACTGACAAAAAAAAAGTTTAGTTGCAAAGTCAAAGTGATATAGACTGATCAATAAATTATTGTAAATAATAATAATAATAATTTTAATACGCCCACATGTGCAGTATTTATATTGTTACAAATATATTATTGCATTTCTTATGTAACTGTGCAAATATTATAGTATGATATGATATTAGAATCGTTGCTTCAAATGTATGTGTTATATGAATGGGCTTGACAAAAATGAAATGGGTTTTTTAAAAACGTAAAACTTTTCTGCACCAACTAGACTACGGTGGGCTGTAAGGGAAATTTTGCACGGACAGCGGCCCTACGGCCTACTCTTATTTCGAATTTCAACTTTTACCTACATGCCAATGTGGACACAACAACTGAAACAAAACGAAACGAAGCAAAATACCTAATTTTCATCAGACTGTTGTTTTTGGAAAATGCAACTCTTATTTTGAGAGGTCTGGGTTGTAAAAAGTCTTAAATAAAAATAAAACGAAACAAAATTGTTATTTAATCTTATTTAGATTGTTGAAACCATGGAATTCTTAAATTGGCAGATTAAAAAGGCAATTTGCTGAAAATTTCATTCAAATTGATCCAAAATGAAACGAGTACTAAGCGGTTGAAATTTCCGGCTAGCCTTGATCATCATTACTGAAGTCAGTACGATAAACAACATAGTCTCGATTATCCATTTAATCGTTAAATCGTGAAGGAAAGTTATGCAGTAAATCGGCTCATAATCCATTAAAGATCGCAGGCTAGCGATGCCATCTAGAGTTGATTATGGTCTGGTTAGGTCAATTAATGTCTAATTAATAATTTAGATAACATTTCAGGTCTAAAGAAAGACCTGCAATAGACAGATTTAGCTCTTGCATAATGTATGTTTAAGTTTGTTGACCCCAACTCTCACAATAGCAAAACTGTAGCTACACCAGGTTATTGGTTGTTTAGAATACGAGAACTCACTCTCCAGGTGTTTATCAACACCTTTTCCCAAATTATGTCCCCGGCGCCTTGCCTTCTGTATCAAGTCAAGAACAAAACAGAATTCACTCGTCTGGCACGATGTTACAGTTGCATGTTTGATGTTTTTCAATGCCAGCCGTGCGACTTACACTAAATTCCATGTTATCTGAATAAATAATTTCTGTTCACCCACGACCTTTTCTTGACTTCATTCCTGTGCTTTGTCAAAAACTCCTTGACTCAATTGTCTTGAAGCATTTATATATTTCAGTTCTGTATCCGCTGTTATTTCCGAACGGTGAACGTTAAATAAACTATAAGTGCTATAAAGGGTGGAGATGCAATAACAATATTAATACACCAAATTAAACCAGAAAAAAAAAGATATTCGTTTGTTTCGTACAAATTGTGAGAAAATCCAATGAAATGCTATATTTGGGGCAGCAGACGTCTCATATTTTTTAAGAACTTAAACACACAAAGAATGTATAACAATACCACCAATTTAAATTGTAGACCAATATTATTCCTTTCGTTGTTCTAATTACCACGCGGACCTCCCATCTGGGTTACACATACAGATTATGTTATGTCGTGTAGTACGGTCTAAACATACTTATTATCTTAAAACATTTGAAGTTAATTTTAAAATATTTACTCACAGACTTTAATAATAGTAGCTATAAAACACATACCCAGTTTTGGATGACCTTGAAAGGTTCAAGTTGACCCAATAAGAGTAATACTTTTTTGGAAATCAAGCTGATGGATTTATAATTTTGCCAAGGAAGCGCCATTTTATGTATTATGTAAGAGGTTCAAATATTGTTGTGGCATTGTATGTTAAAGCGAGGGGTTAGATGGCCGAATAGTTAGCGCGTGTTTGTTGTATCATAAGGTCTATCATTAAGTCAACTGGCATGGTTTCGATTCCTCGGTTGTACGTGACAAGGACTAGGGTCGCCTGTCCAGCCTCGTGGGCTTTCTCCAGTTCCCTCGGTTTCCTCCTACTGCTAAAGACCCTCAGCTTCACAATTTAATAAAACTAAAATGTCCCCAGACTGATTAGTTTATTTTTCTCGATTCAATGAAACTAAAATGTCCTCAGATTTATTATATAACATTTTATTAAGAAAACAAAGCCAAAATATTACAGGTAGATATTCCCCTGACTTAAGGATTCAGTCGGATAAAAAAAGATTTTAACCAACACTTATAGATGGCACAGGATCGTTTATGTCGTCAGCAGGGAATGGTTCTCTTAGGGCTAGATTGTATGTTAGAGTTAGGGTAAGCGTTAGGGCTAGATCCAGGGTTAGGATTAGGGTTGGGATAGCGCTAGCTCTGTTTACATCTCGTGACCATTGACCAAACTTGAAGTTGGCCGTAAGAAATATCCTCTTAGATATTCACGTTTCGCGGTATTATGCCTTTGTCCATGGAGGGACAGGCAGGGGGAACTTGACTGTCTTTCAAGACACGTCATTTTGGCGTATATGGGTAACTGGCGGTCACTTTGCTAAAACCCAGAAATTGAGGTTTAATACAACATAATATGACATACCAAATATATGCACTATACGTTTAAGTTTAATTCTAGGTTCCCACTATCGTGGTTTTAATGATGGAGTAATTGTGGTGATCCTATCAAATCAGGTCTTATTATAAATTAAGGTCAGTCGTACCGGACGTATCTGCATGTACCAGATTGTGGACTCAACAGGAACAATCCTATCGTAACGCATTGCACGACAGTGGAAACTTAGCATTACCGATTTAATGATAATCAGATGTACACGATTTTGACAGGAAATTTTAATCAGGCAAACAAAAATCGTGACCATGAGATGTCAAAATATCAAAAAGGAAACATTTTCGTCACATATATTATTCGTTTATTTTTTGTCAATACCCGAAATCATGTTGACCTTGTTTAAAACGGAACTTTCCGCGCATACCTGGAAGCGAACTCATTAATAGCCTCATGAAAATTAACAGTACGTGACAAGCTATTTTCAATGCTTAAAATTGCGAGACCGACGACCGAATGGGTAATAAGCTTATCCCGGACATATTAGTGACGAATCACGCTGTCATTGGTCAGCAAAGGTCCGCAATTGGCAAAAATATCGAAAAACATCGCGATTTTTAGCGCTTAACGAAACGAAGACTGAAGTAAAAGTTTATTTTTCATTTCAATTTTAATGATCGGATAACAGCTACACAAGCGATCGATAATCGCATGCATGATTACACTGGCGCGCTCACCATATTGTAGCGTTCTCCAGGCCCGGACTAGGCCCTGATTACCAGTCGGGGCCCTGATACCTGACGGTGGCGAAAGCCTCAAATGGAACTAGGACGGACCGGGGTCCCACGGCGTGAAGGTCCGGGCATGTGGTTTATAATTTTAAATTCAACAATTTTTTCAAAACAAGTGGACTGACAGAATCCGATTCCAGACCTACAAACGGCTCTAGGTATACACATATTCAGAAAAGTCATTGGTTTTCTTCTACTTTACGATCAAGAAACAGTATATTTTCTTCATTAATTTATACCAACAAATTTTTTTAAAACATTATTCGGCATACCTCCGGGCCCCTCTAGACTCAGGGCCCCTGGATAAGTGCCCCCCCCCCCTCTCTTCAAACGGGCTTTAGGTGAATGGCCCTTGGGTCTCTTGTTTTATTTGACGTCAAAACCATTTCAAAAGAAAACATGTTATAGGACCTACTAAATATATAAGATCTGCTAGGTAAACATTTCTTCGCTTGTCAATCTTAATATTTCATACATTTTTCGCATTCTTGGATCAATTTATAAATTTTTGTCGGTCTACATTGATCAGTGAAATTAAAGTTATTTACAATTGTATTTCCTTTCTATGGGTTTAATAGGTTACACCAATTGACTTATCACTATGTAGTCTGTAGAGAGATGTATTGAATTATGATATAGACAGTAGTCGTACAACCCATACTGAGCGGAAATAAGAAAAATGACAAGAGATCAAATTCGTCAGTAAAATATAGTTACTGTAGATAAATGCTGAAATAACTTTATTTTAGTATAGGTATGTCGTGTTGCCAGTATTATAAACTCAGATGTAGAGTTTGTTTTGCAGGAGGGACTAAGCGTAAAGGATAGATATATTTAACAGGCTCGTGGAGGTACACCCTCCCCCTATATTTCTAATTTGCACCTTCCTAGTTCATTAAAATCTTGGACTTCTCATTCACTATGTTTAGGCAATAGCGTACTTTTAGTTTACAATCATATAACGGTGTGTAGGGGGTCGGTGTTGGTCTATGGGGTGTGGGTGTTGGGGTGGTCACGGTGGCTAAGTAGGTAAGACGCTGGCTCGTTAGCCTGGAGGTCGCGGGTTCGATCCTGGTATTGGCCGAGAAGGTTCATCGGGATTTTCCGGCGTGGTTTCCCCTTGTCAGTGGTGCAGGGCGGAGGGCCTGACAAGGAAAGCTGTCTAGTCGTTCGGATAGGACGAGAAACCCAGGTCCCGTGTACACATTGGCGTGCACGTAAAAGATCCCTTGGCAGTTGGCGTATACCTGTCTTCATTAACCCAGTCGGGGCAGAACAGTGGGACGTTAAACCCCATTCCATTTCATTTCATTTCATTTTTGTATTATCCGGACTTCCTAGTCCACACACCCGCTGTATCCACCCTTGCTCTGTGAAAAAAACTTAGGGTTGTTTTACTAAAATATATTTTTAATATATGGTTATAATTACAACAGACGTACAAAAAAGATGCTGGACACCACTACGCTACGGAAGCATTTTTTCTATTTAAATTGTTGACATTTCAAAACGTCTCTCTCTGTGGAAGTGGCCCCACCCATCACAATAATTACAAAACAACATATAGACGGTTACACATGAAAAATAACCAGATAAAAATAATAACACATTGCTGCATAACTGGCAAAATATCATTAGCTAATTGTTATAAATTTACACTAATGAAATGAAAGTGGCCCCACCCATCACAATAATTACTAAACAACACATAGACGGTTACACATGAAAAATAACCATAGAAAAATAATAACACGTTGCTGCATAACTGGTAAAATATGATTTGCTAATTGTTATAAATCTACAGAGATGAAATGGGGTTACTATAAGCAATAGAAAATGCAAGCCTCTTTCTTGCATTATCACCCTTGTGCACGCGGTTGACCCACTTTTACTTGATATCACTTCTCATTCATTTGAATTTTTGGGAATATATGTTATACATGTAAATTATCACACACCTAGGGTTGAGTTTTACCTGTGACAAGTGTTGTGCACGTGACAGACCTGCTTTTACTAAAACACTTGATATCACTTCTCATTCATTTGAATTTTTTTGGAATATTTGTTATACATGTAGATTATCGGGCATTTGGAGTATTTTACCTACCTATTCAAAACCTATTACGGTAAATGGTTCGTTGGTAAGATCAAGATCTTTGGGTATGTTTTATATACAACCTAAAATTGTTACCTGTTTTATTGTAAGGAAAATCTAAATAATACTTTACTATTTACAGGTGGAACGTGTAGATTCACCTTCAATAATCAAATACAGGCATGGCTTAGATTAGGAACACGCCGCTCAAATGTTTCGTCATAGTACTTGAATGGTAAATCTAGATGGTTTCCGTTTAACCCAACTGTTTCATAGAAAGGTATTGTATGGTCGTGGTATGATTGTTGTATTACTACCAGAATGGTTTTAATGTAGTCCAACACCCTAAAAGATACAATCATATAATATTTGGTTTACTATAACTAATAGTATACATATTATGATGTTGTGTTGTTTAGTATAACGTAGTTTTAGAGACGTCAGAATGGCGAGGCTATCCGATACAGAAAATGATACGAATTCTTACCGAGAAAAGTAAAATTGACGATGATATCATATCGCATTGATCAGGGGCAGATCCAGCCTTTCCGGAAAGGATTGTGATCCTTGCTAGTGCAGCCTTTGGCTTGGTCTTATGGCATAATAAAGGTTCGGCGGGAGGTTGGGGTGGGGGGACTCTGTAAGCTCTGTACTTTTATACTTTTAAGCGTTTGTCGGTCATATTTGATTGATTAAAGAAAGAGTAGACGGACTTTATTTCTGTAAAAAAAAAAAAAAAAAAAAGAAAAAATAAGCCACTGCCCTCCATAGCACTGCGCATGACGTATTGTCCTCCTTCATTTCATTTAAAGCCACCTTCTTTACTCCACCACTTCTTTTATACGATATCACTCTAGTTTGAAGCGGACGTAAAGTTCCAGTAGAGGACAAAGAAGAAGAAGAAACACCGCCACTTTAAATGACTAATAATGAAATATAGTTTAAAGTTGTAAATGATACTGAATTGTGAATGTAACAATATGGTGGTTTGTAGTTTGTTCACGTGTAAACATTGAGTACATCTTTACCCCTGTTGTTTAAACTGTCACTTCAATCTCCTGATCATCTTCTTGTGTTACATACAAGTACACATGGTTTGGTCATGTTTGTCTTTCACCTACTATTGCTTTACATGGGCTCGACCCACTATATAAGAGAGAGAGAGAGAGAGAGAGAGAGAGAGAGGGGTAGAGAGAGAGTAGGTAATTTCGGAACTAACATAATATGGTACAATTTCATTTTAATAATTCTCTTGCGCGTAGGGGTCTTTAGCAGTGAGAGGAAACCGGGGGACCCACGAGGTTAGACAGGCAACCGTACAAGTAACCTTGTGAGCTTACAATCTGATTATACAACACACATTCTGTTTCGTTTCGTTTTTTATTGTTAAAAAGTTCGTTTTATTTATCTGTACTACACTAGAATCTGGAAGAGTTGTTATATAACCTGCGTTCTGGATGGCGTGAGGAATAAGCCAATGAAACCATCTGTTACGGCGACTTCTTGGCGTGCGATGTATGGAACTGTGGGTAAACCACTAGAAACGTCAACGCTGATTGATTATTCAATGTCTTTACGTCAAAGGGTCAAAAGCCGTTCGTAGGACCTCTGACGCGACCTTTTACTACAACCGGTCAGATCTTCATGTAGTGTAGGCCATCGAAAGTATAAAAAAAAACGAAACGAAATATAAATCTGTATTTTAATCAGATTGGTGATCTACGCACATGCGTTAAACCATTCGGTCACCCCCCCCCCCCCCACCACCACCACCACCACTCTGTGCTAATGGTGGTGGTCGTAGTAGGGATCTAACAAGCCGCAATCTATTTTTTATTTTGGCAAGTGACCATTTGCCCCGAGGTAACGTTCTAACCAGCAGCAATTTTACTTCCGAAATTGACCCCTAAAATATAAATGCCAGCAAGCACGCCGAATACCATTATTAATATTAAAATGACCAATAAATTTCGTACATATTTTGTTATTTTGACACACCGGTACCATATAATATACATAGGTACGTTATCTATATAGAATATATGTTAGTATATTAATATATAGACAACCATTATCTATATATGCTTGTAGACAGATAACACTTCAAACATAATTATCTTTCTTTCCCTTATATCTCACTCTCTGTTAAAAAAAAGGGGGTCATGGTATTTGTGTCGTGTGAAAAGGGAATTGGGGTCCGTGTCACAAGGCTCCTGTAAAATTGTGTGGACTGAACGGAACGTTCACGGAAAAGAACCATTGGCTTTTGCGGTGCTGGTAAGGAAAGTTTTGCCAAGTCATTCGGATAGGATAAAAAAAGAAGTCTACTCGTATACACTCTAGGGTGAATCCTTGACAGACAAAAATCGACGAAGAGTAGGCTGAAACGCCACAGCCTGGCCAAAATCCCCCCTAGCATTACACGCGCAACCATAGAGAACGGCTAATAGATAAATAGCCAGTGTATCTATAGTTAGTTGGATGGAAAGCACACCTGAGGTCGGAAAGGCCGCTGCTTTTGCAAATTATACCCTTAACATTGCGATCGTAATTTATGCAAATAAAATGGAGGATTTCCTTCATTTCATCGCTAATATTTCATACACATCATTTAGATTGCATTCAGGTGCACTCGGTAATCTTCTCATCAGCGTCACCGAGTGAATGGAGGTACACCGTGTCAGGCTGTAATGAAATGAAATACAAATATGGAAACCAACAAAAAGACTTAAAAAAAAAGCGTGTAGTTTTATTCCAAACGTGCGTAATAAAGAGTATATGTAATGCTGTCAAGGAACCCCACTTCAAGTGCAATGCAATAAAACCCGGTCTATAGGCAGATTAAACATTTCAATTCAAAAGCTTTTAATGCATTCTATGCAATTTCTTGCCTTGGACTTCGAGGTCTGTTTGTCATTTTAATCCAAGCTGAATAAAAAGATTTTTTTTGTGGTCTTTTGTATAGTAGAAATTATAGAACATTTTCTAACAGGCTATGTAAAAATATACAAATGTACAAACACACTGTACTCAATCGCTGATATATACTGGTCCACGGTCCGCCCATTGTCAGGTATATAGCAGACGATATCTACATACATATATACATTTACCCATATACGTTCACGCTTGGTCGGTCCATTATTAGACTTTTTACCATCACGTGTTGGAGGTGGCCATTTGAATAGAGATTCTAATATCAAAATGTCGTTTTGAAAAAACAATTTGACTGAACATAAAACGTTTTTTGCTGAATTTTGAGTGCATGAATACTATTCTAACACGGAACTCGATAACGATGGTGAATAACGAAATGTGTGGAGTACTGGAGTGTATTAACTCGTGATATATGGTTTAAAAAAATTGTGGGGGTGTTATAGTATATCCCGGTTCCAAAAACACAAGGTGGTATTAATGAATCATTATCGTTCACGAGTGGGCAAGGAAAAAAACAAACCAAACGCTTGTAATTTTGAGTCATTGTGAGGAAATCGGCTCTTGTATTTGTGAACTTATATTTTTTCCGCTGAAAAACGGCTTTAATTGGATGTATTGTATATAAATTACGCTGAGTTGAAAATCTACATACATGCGGGTGTCCGTTGTGGAACCATGCGAATTCAACCCTGTTAAGTTGTATGTGCTTACTCAGCATATAACGTGAACTAAGATGGGAAAAATACGGACCATTCTGATATGTAGTATAGTTTTAGTAGTAATTTTACCTTTAAGTGGCGGAAATTTTTTGGAATGGGGACCGGATTTAGAGGGACCCTGGTGCGCTACTAGACCCGTAGAACAATGTTGTCCCGGACGGGATGATAAATGTACTGTACCTATATTGGGAACTGTGTGTTACTGTGATATATTTTGTAATGAAACTGCCGAGGATTGTTGCCCGGATTTCTGGAATCTATGTTTGGGTGTAACTCGCCCGACACCCTGGCCAGTAACTACTTTAGCTACAACTAGCAGACCACCAGTAAATGTTTTAGGTGAGTAGAAATAATCATCTTAACTCCTATCTACTGAAGAGGAGAGAGAGAGAGAGAGAGAGAGAGAGAGAGAGAGAGAAATGGGGTTTAACGTCCACTCGACACAAACTAGGTCATTTCGGGACTAACACATGGTTCAATTTTATTTCAATAATTCGCTATGCGGAAAATTTTGTTTGCCCAGACAGCTGCGTTTCCGCATAGTCTTCATAATTCCAACTGTAAATGAGTCTTTAACGTGCACGTCGGGTTTTCTCCAAAGCTAACCCAGGACCATTCGTGTCATAACAACAGAGCTAGCGTGGCTCCTTATAGAGCTGCCCCCGTAACTTTCGGGCAATCTGACTTTTCGGGCAGACGGGTAGAGTGAAAACAAAAATTGTTATTTCATCTAGTTGGCAAAATAGAGTGCCCGATATCCGATAAAACACGAATTTTTACTGAATTGACTATGGATTAAAACTTTTTGTCTGTGCGACATTGTTCGGGTATCGACTATTATTTGTGAATGCAGCTTAACAGTCTGACTGGATGGTTATAATCCAGGTCGGCATAAAGAGAGTGGGGTTTCGGTTACAAAGCGATTGAAATTTTTGATGCTGCGTAATTCACGGGCTATAGAATAACAGAAAAAATCATTTGCGGCGGTTAAATTTTCAAATTTTTTTTGAGGAGCGCAACGCCACCATACCCCGCGACGATTGATTGGTTTGGGATTTGGGGTTCGGGTAAGGCTGCTATATCCACTGACTGGAATAGCAGAAAAGTGCGTTTGCGGCTGTCAACTTTTCCAAATTTTCTTTGTGTGGATGTGGGAGCGGCCTACACCGCCGTTTGTGACCCCAAATTTCAGGTTCCGCCCCGCCTCAAATAACATTCATTGAGTCTGTATGCCTCTATGCATCACTGGATTATTTTATGTATAAATTTATCTGATACGTCTAGATATATTAATTATCTTGGTAAGAGGACACCGGTGACTATTTATCATATCACAACCTGCATAGATATTTGCATTTCAATATCCCCTATATATTTTATTTTTACACAATGTGACGGCTGAAGGAGCATAAAGGGTCTGACTATTCATTATATTCGTGAAAACCAGTTACGTGTTACAACTGTCTTAATGCTAGGTTCCCACTATCACGATTCGCGGTGACAAGGAAAATTTCGGGCAATTAGCCTCTGCACTCCCCCCCCCCCCAATTTGAGGTTGGCCCCCTGTGCATATGATACGAGTATCATACTAGATTGATCCTACCCTGAATATAGACAAAGTTAAATTGCCGAATGATCGATATCTGTGACATGATCAAGAGTAACGAGATATTTTGTTCTGAAGACGTGGTGTTATCTTTATAGGATATGTATTAAACTAAAACCACTTCTAAACACGGATGAATGTTTCAACTGTGATTCTGCTTCTTGAGCTCATTTGCTCCGAGTTTACATGCCGAAGCAGTTACTGACCACGAGGCAATTTATGACTCATTCTTGGAGAGCATGCATCGAACTATTTGGCTTTTCTGTCTCAATGGGACACTATTCTTCATTCTGAAGAGCATTTGGGCAATTTGATAAAGAACAAATCATTGTTTTAAAAAAACGTGCAATAGGCCTACTTATCGTCCAGCTAGCCATCTAATAGTGAAATGGCATAAGAGTAGTGTTATCATTTCTAAGATAGACCCTTATACTCAATGGAAAGCAACACGTATTTATTTTCGCGCCGTATTTTCGTAGGCTTATCTTAACTACTGAGGTAGCGGCATCATCAAATGTGCACACACACTACAGTTTAATTCTTTCTTCTCTTCTACTCAACCAATTTAACAGCCATATTGGGTTGTTTAATGCAGGTGTGTTTGATTGTGTTCGCCATGTTCTAATGTTAGAGGGGAGGGGAGTTGAAACACATAAAGAACATACTGTAAACTGTTTTCTTTAAGCTAGAGATACTCTTTGATGGTTGGAGATGCTAATCTTACAACAAACTTTATGTTACTCTGTGTATTGACACTCGGACTGTCATCTCGAGCTATAAGCTTCATCATATAGATATATGTGTCAGTCAAATTCACACAAAAATACTTAACTCTCGTGTCTTTTACATACACAATTATATATTAGCTCTAACGGGTGTGGCATTAAGGTACACGAAATACGATCGAAATAGAAAACAAAGGAAACAGTCCTGAAAATTGATATCAATTCATCTAATCTGTAATTATAAAGTTTCCTGCTGAAGTTGGTCGATTGCTTGTTGTTCTTGTGGTTGGGGCTTATAACTTGATTCGCGTTGTGCTGCATCAATATACTATGTGTTATATGACTGAGAATTTGAATAGCAATATCCATTTTAAAGGCAACTTCGTCCCACTCCCCCGCCCCGGTCGTTATTTTTGGTTTGTTTTTCTTTTGACAAATTACGTTTTGAAGAAACGAAGTATTGCGTAGAACTTACTAAAACAACCTCTAGGGAACCTCTATGTGAGTCTCTAATGAGAGGGCGTGTTATGACACTTGACTCACGACTAGAACGTACAGTCGAGTCTGAAACCCGACGTGGGCCAAGAAGGTACTTGGCACATATATGGAGAAATGGAGAAATGTACCTATGAGCTATGTGCGCTTGGGCTATGAACGTACAACATCACTTTCGCTCCTCAAGTTTTGCTTTGAAACGCTGGAAGGGGGAAGAAGTGTAACTTCTCGTCAATGCATTAGCTTGGTCATTATGATTTTAAAATGCCAAGAAGTTTGCCAAGACAGCGGCGGCGCCAGCATCCTTTCATTGAATCCCAAAATGTTGAATTTGTTCTACTGTCGGCCCACCCCGTGGACGTTATCTCTTCAAAGAGAATTCTCAAATCGAGAAATATTCTAGCTAATTAATGATAGAATTCCAATCTTTGCCAAAAATACCTTAAAATGACATGCTATGGAATGATGGTGGCTGTAACCCACTTTGACATTCCGCCCGATGCGCATATTACCTATCTTTCTTCTATTCTGGTATATCCATCCGGTTCCATCATTGCCTATTAGCGTTATCAACCCCACCCTATTACGCAGCATCCTCAACATAAGACATATCAACTAGAACAACCCCGAGATAACGGATAATATTAACTTCCCAGAATAATGTCATATATTCAAGTCTTGGTAAGAAGATCTTTTATCTTAATTGTATGACATTTAACCAAATTAACCCGCAATGTCTGATGTAGTTGCTGGCTTCTGTGTCAAAGGAAATGCTAAACGCTAAAAAACAAAACCTCTAAGCATGACGCTGGTAGTACAGAAATAGTTCAATCACTTCACCGATATTTGGTTCTTAAAGCCCAATCTTACTCCAAACACAGGGTGGATATATTATTTAAAGGAGCTAAATCGGTAATATTTTGGAGCTAGTATTGGCACAAATGGGTCGCAACACATATAATAATATAATAGGAATTTATATAAACTGTTTTACATTCAATCGTTTCTATTTTACTGTGAATTGTCATCAGTTATGTTCGGCGATCGATATACGCCAGAAGTCTCAACCGAAAGTCAGTTTCTAGCGTCTGGTTATTCCAGTCAACATCGATAGTATTTATTGTGCATGCTCTACAAATAAGAATATGGTATTACCGTTTGATATGAAATGTGGAATATATGTCTCGCCTCATTCTTTGAGCACCTTGTTAAAATTGCACTGAAACGCATGATGGTACACGACTCGTGTACCAATGGTAAAATGTTTATTTTGTCTGAAATATTCGATATGAGAAACCCAAATTTTCAAGGTAAGATCACCACACCAATACTGATATAAATTGCAAAAAAAATTGTGCTTTCAATGTCGAAGATTTTGGATGATATTGGGTTACGGACTTAGCTACTTTAAGACCATACACAATCAACACGGCTTTTATTAAAATAAACTCATTTTGGTACAAATTATTCAAATCGATCAATTATTTATAACTTATGTTATGGCCATTTGAAGTGTACACTGGGCCCTTATTCACGAAAACTTAAACTAAGATAAAATCGAAATTTTAAGAAATACTGCAATTCGATTGGCTGACCAGTAAAATCAATTTGCATATATCCAATTTGCATATTGGTCAGCAAATCGAATTGCAGTATTTCTTAAAATTTCGATTGTAGCTTAGTTTAAGTTTTCGTGAATAAGGGCCCCGGTTTCTATTGATTCCATACTGCCATCTTTCAGTGTCTTAGACAAGTAAGTAATAACGAGTATACTATCTTTTTCGTCGAGTCAGCCCATTTCTTATGTAATTAATTACATAATAATAGTAAAAACATTAACGAACTACCATAATATTAACATTCTTTACATTTTGAAAGTGCATACTTTTGACATGTAGGAACCACCTGTTTGGTCGAGCATTTGAAGTATTTTCGTTTTTTCTACAATTTAAACTAATTAAAAATATAATTTTTGCAGGTAAATAATTTGATGTCTGAAAATACAGACAGGGGATAGGGGTGCGGGGAGGGAATGGCGGTGTTTTTAACGTAACAAGGTCGTTTTTGTTACTAAAACATAATGAGTGTCTTTTCCATTAACTGTAATTTCCCACATTACACATTGCATGACGTTTATCCGTCTTCCTTGCCGAAAAAGGGGGTTGGATGGCCGAATGGTTAGCACGTGCGTGCTGTATCATAAGGCCTGTCATTGAGTCATCTGGCGTGGTTTCGAATCCCCGATTGTACGTGATAAGGAGTAGGGTCGCCTGTCCAGCCTCGTGGGTTTTCTCCGGGTCCTCTGGTTTCTTCCCACTGCTAAAGACCCCTACGCGCAAGCGAATTATTGAAATAAAATTAAACCATATGTTGGTCCCGAAATGACCTAGTTTGTGTCGAGTGGACGTTAAAAACCATTTCTCTCTTTCTCTCATTGCCGAAAAGTAAGACGTTAAACCCCATTTCATTTCTAATTCAGTTTGTAAAACCGGCATGTATTGGTTTCCATACCT